GTCGCGAGGGAATATGCTTCTCGTGTCCTTTCCAACAATGGGATACTATGTCATACAGAATGCCGTGAGCTTGGACTCCGTGAATGCTAACGGGTCTGCCGGTTTCGCCGGCAAGACGGAGCTGGGCACGAAAAATGGCTTCTTGGTGCGGCGCGCGTACTCGGTAAGGACTTAATAGCCTCCCTTCTCGGCCGCCAGGTGTCAGGGCACCATCTCTGGATTCGGCCAATGCAGAGTCCCATTTCTGGGGCAAGCGAAACGCCCTGTCGAGGCCAATCTCGCCAACGAGGGCCAGAGGATAAGCTTCGAGTCGGGTGCGAGTTGAACTGATGAATGACGAAAGTAGGATCGGCGTAGGCAAAGAAGCAATAAAGCCATCATCTTGGGGTGATGGTTTGAGAACCGCCTGATAATGCACCTTCTTGGTGGCTAACAGCACTGTTTCATCTGTCTCGTCTGCCGCTGGTGGTTGTGGTGGCGGTTTATACGTAGGTTCAGCGGCAACGTCATCGTACAATTGATGAGAAAACCATGGATGCCATCCAAACGAGGGAATGACTTGGCAGCTACGTTGTACTGCAGGCCTTGGTTCTTCTCCTGCTGATACAGAGAATGCTTCTGCATCGCCGTGGCCATCATTTTGACATCCGCCTCCACGACCCCGCAAACTTGCCCGGCCTTTGACGCCATGCATCGACGCCACGCCAGCAACCAAATCTTGATCCTGCGAACGAGTTGCCATGATGACAAGCGCGGAGGCGCGCATGGTTTCGAGGCTGGTTATCGAGCGCATTGTGTCGGTGGGATGGCAATGGGCATCGAAAACAGGCAAGTGCCATGGAAAGACTTCATTATTTGCAGATGGAGGACGATTCGATTCGCTCTGTGGTGAACTCTTATCAATTTGGTGATGTTGACACATTATTGTCACGGAGTCTTGAAATGTTTTAGAAGTCGCTGCTGTGAGTCTCAACCCGTTAGTGACAGGATACAGTTGCGCATCGCCTAGTGTACGCTGATGTACTTCCTACAGTACAATATTACAGTACGGTGTGCAAAAGTCAGGTCGCTTTTCTAGTCAAATAATAACTGCGTTTGCTCCCACTGTGTTGTTTTTGCGGAACGGTGGGAGGCTCTGGTGGAGTCGCAAGAGAGAAGGGCGTCTTGGCTCCAGCCCTGTGCGTGGAGAAGTCCTATAGGCCGACGATGAGGGACATGATGAAATCGTCTCAGCTGCGTTTATCTGTCCGCGAAGCAAAAGCGCCTAGATTTTCGAATGCAATGCGCCTTGCACAAATGGAAATTCGATTCCAATGGGCCTAGACAGCTGAGCGCATAGGAGAGCTGTTGAACACGAGGCTTGATGCAAACTGTTGTTGACCCCTTGCCTAATGTCGCAGATCTCGGGACATGGAAACTCAAACCCGGGTGGCCCACCTGTCAAGTTGAGCGTCGAAATGGAGAGACACGGCGGGCTGGCACATTATAGCCACACTCCGTGTCTTTGAGATTCTTCATATGCTCTGTATCTTGAGTCGAAAGCGGTAAGGTGCGGAGAGATTCGGGAGCCCCTTTGCTTGCTAGGGTGCCAATCTGCTAATCTTTGAGGGGAAAGGTGGTGATGAGTTGGCTGGCCGAGTTGGCGGAGGCTTGCTTTAGGGTCGGTTCTGGGATGCTGCTTCTCTGATCTGACTTGTCGCTTTGGAATTGGACTTGCTGTTAGCTCTCTTGCTACCTGTCTCTGTTGTGGTACTCACTCCGTAGTGAGGTGGTGGTTGGTTTCGCCGCCGCCGACATGTGATTCGGCCCCTCAGTCTCACCACGGCCACGGCATGGCCATGGGCTGCTTCAATCGATCGACCCATACCTTCCATCATCCATTCTCGTCTTGTTTCTCCTTCTTTCTTCTTCTATTTTCCGGCTTGTATCGAACGATCGTTATGTCGCTTGACTGCATCATTTGGTGATGGGAGGGGTTTGAAATGAAAACGAGCCTACTTACTATTGTCAGCATTTAAAAACAGCTGATACGCTCCTTCCTGTCAACAGTCTTTTAGACCACCACATATTGGCAGTGACTTCAACGTCGCTCCTTCCTCATCGACCCCCTCATATTCTATCGCTGCCGTCGATTTTTGTTGGCTTAATCACGTGCTGTGTTGCGTCTCAGAACAGAACAACACTTCTCTCTCTCTCTCTCTCTCTCTCGCACATTACACATCTAGTCTGGCCATGTCATGGTACGCAAATGTGAAATAGCGCATCAACAAATTTCCCATCATGACAAGCCGTAGAACCATGTTGCTGTTGAACCCGGTCTATGCATTCGTTGTTCCATTCCTGTTTGTTGTCACAGTTCCTTTAGCCATCTTTGCTGGCATAACCACGACTCTTGCATTCGGCGTTCTCATCTTCCGCGTTGTCATAGTCTATCTGGATGTTGCCCTCTCACTCATACCACAATCTCTGGCGAGTTTCAAGCTTCGGCGACGGTATATACGCCGCGATACACGAATGCCGCCATCTTTCAGCACCTGGTACGGAAGCAGCAGCGGAGATAGCTCAGCAGCATCATCTACCCAACAGGCGGCACCATTACACCTCCGAAGACGCCGTCGACCCAGCAGCAGTCTCAGCATGACATCGACGGGTGGCTCTACCACGCCCGTCAGTGAGCTTGGGCTAGGGTTGATGCCCAGCGTAGGGCCAGAGCGAGACTTTGAGGGGATTGGAGGCTGGCGGTCCGGCGATGACGATGAGGCTTGGACGACAATCAACTCTCGAATGGAATTGCCAGATCGGCAATTTACACGGCATCACTATCGATCTGCGTCTGGAGGTGGAGCCACAACACCAGGAGACGGCGGAGTCTTGATGATGAAGAGCAGGCGGAGGAGTCCAGAATCCAAAACCGTAATGCGAACAGCCACTTCGCCAAACAGCTCGAGAGCTAGAACTCCTTCGGCTTCACGGGTGCAAAATCTGACAACTCTTGGCAATGGTAACTCGGACAGTTACTTTCCGTTGACCATGTCTCCGAAGGCCTCTAAAAAGATGTCAATATTATAAAGAAGGCGCAAGTGATCTTTTGCCTTGTTTGAGGCGCATTCCAGTCAGGTCAGGTTGTGTGGGTGTGCTCGCGTAGTACTAAGGCGGTTTTCATGTAGGAATGGATATCTGCGGCAGATTTTTCGGGCTGGAAAAAGGCACACAGGACATTATTAGCCCGCTTTGTAAAATCTCTAACGACTGACGAAACACATGATGCAAGAAGGGTCTGGTGGGCTGTACAGAGTACTACATGACGAATGAAAGACAAATATTTCAACAGATACCACACCTCATTCCGCTGCCCAGCTAATTCGGGGTAATATGAGTGGCATAGTTACACCACCTCTTGTAGTCCAAGAAAACCTCGTCGAACCAATCACAGGTCAGTGTCTCACCTAGATTGGTAACCCAGGGTACATGTGCATATCAACCTCATGGGTGTTTAAACTGTACTCGTACGAAACTGCCGAGTCTCGAGTGCCAGTGCATATATTCGCCATGGAATGAGTTAGACTCCCACTTCCATTCAACTCGGCATCCCCCCTGCCCATAGATAATACTCGTCGCAAAATTCCCTCGGCGCCGGACGGCAGAGTCTTTCCCTTTCCTTGTAGTACATGATCCAGTCCTCTGCTCCAAACGGACCAAGAACATTGTCGGAAGACGTCTGCGCTCGGCAATCGGTGAAATCGTACTGCGTAAAGGCAGGGAGCGTTCATTGAGCCAGCCACCTTTGGGCAGAAAGACTTCCGGACGAGGAGGAGAGTAGGTAACTATCGCATATTGAAACGGTCGTATCTGATGCAAGGCGCGAATATTTGAATAGAATACCAAGGTATTACATGCATATATCGTGTGTACACCATATTCAAGGCGACGGGCCTTCTACCAGAGTCTTCTAGAGGCAAAGAGTAAATGAATATGCACGATCCACAACGAAGTATAACTTCTCCGCTTTTTACTATGTTAAGAAAGCAGACGGCTTAATCCTGGAAAGACTTAATGCTCTGGAAACTCTCTGTTCGGAAAGACACAGAAGCCTCTGCTGTAAATATCCGCTTTTCGGTTGCCAATCCAAAGAGCCGTAGCCGCGGACAGAACCTCCAGGTCTCCACAAGGCCTTCCTATTACATAGTAAAAGACTTTGTTAAAGAATTAAAAGGCTGCAGCAGTTCGCCTCTACAACTTTGTATCGTTCCGGGACCCAGAAGTGTTTTGGTGGGAAGACACTGAATTTGCGGCGTCCAAGTTCAGGGCACAAAGCCGCAATCAAGTGAGCTTGGAAACATGACTGTATTTTCGTAAAATATTCAATGTGTGATATAAGAATTCCCTATCGTGACAATTAGCAGTGCCGTACGGCACTTGAAACTGCGCTGCGTGTCGATACAAGCCATTTAGCTAAGCGCGGTTTGTGTCCGAGACGCATTTCGTGCCCATTATACACGGATCAGAGTTGCAGCACGCGCCGTATGAGCCTGAGACGACAAGAAACTATATGACGTGGGACAGTATAATGGTGCGACGGCTCGACGATACGTTGAGCATTCGTCAGTGAGCGGTGTTGGGACCCATTGAACAACGCACGAGGAGATGGTAGACGAAGATTGTTGTCGTGGGTGTGTCAAAGCCAGTTGACGCCCGTTAAACTCAGTGCCAGGACTCGATGATCGACAAAGCTCGGACTATACGGTGGTTAATGTCTCATGTCCCCGGTTGTGCAGTTCAACAAGCTCCGCAAAGTCAACAAGAAATGTGTTGTCTTTCAAGACAAGTAATCAAGGCTGTTTGATATCGAAAGAAGCCAGTGCTAAACGGGCAGGTATAGCTCACCAGTCCAACCTGCTCGTCCGCCTATCCTATTCCAAATGCCATCATCGCTACATCCAAAACTCCGGGTATAACCGTCCAACGCCCACCCATCATCCTCACCAACTTCCATCCCTTGTCTACAACGTCTGCCAGAAGTAATTGGCGTAGAAGTACCTGGAAAACTTCTTGTCCATATTAACAACGTGGACATCCCCTCTGCCATCGTTCCTCACCACTGCCCTAGTCCACTCCCCATCCTTCTCGTCCCGCTCGATATCGATCCCCAGACTCCTGTACACCTTTAACCGCAAAAGGACCTCGTCGTCCACTGCGTCTCTCCTCCGCGCATTCTCGTCGCCCTCGACCCCTTGCAGGTCGAGCTCTTGCAGCCGCGCACTCAGGTCCGCCGCCTGCTGTGCCAGCCGCTCGGCCTCCATCTCCGCATCGCTGGCTGCCTTTGCGGTGCGGAACTTGCGAGTGTCCAGTGTCGCAATTTTGGACGCGTGGTCAGTCGCGGAGTGAGAGGACGTTAGCTCCGCGTGTTGCGAGGAGAGCGTGTTTAGTTGGCGGGCCAGCTTTTTGAGAGATGATTCGGCATCGCGCATACGCAGTTCACGGGCTTGTTGGAGGGTTGAAAGTGACTCGCTGATGCGGGAGATGGCGAGTTTGTCTGGGTCAATGTTAAAGTTGTTTACTGTGTGGCTGATGAGCTGCCGGGGTAATTAATTAGTAGGTTGACAGTAGAAAACGGGTGTGCGTCAGACCTACTGTTGCGGGGTCTTCTGAGAGTAGCATTTTCGCGATATCTTCTTCAAATCGTAATCATGTGTCGGCTGTTGGGCTTTTCGTCTCCTGCTTCCATTCGTTTGCGATGCCGTCAATTGTGCAGCGTTGTAATGCCGTCGCGTCAGTCTAGTTGTAGATGCAGACGTTGGATGTCAGTTCAAGTCAGAGTTGTGACCCACCTTTATCGTCACTGGACATGCTTCAATCCCGCCAACCAGAGGGCACAGCTCATCGTCAGGGGCAACTATCTTATCACCCATCACCCGACATTTCACCGTTGTACATATGTACTAGTACATGCTGCGTCCGGGACTTCTCACAAGATGTACGGAGTAGCGTCATTGTCGCCACACCCGAGTTCAACCCAGTACAGGCCACACACACCTGAGCTCCAAACTCCAAGTCCACCAGTCACTCCCAACTCAGCATACTCAGCTCAAGCACCTCCCACCACACATCTCCCTACTCAACCTAGTCACAAATTAATTCATTCATTCAGGCCATCGTCGCAGTGCCGAAAAAAAATGGTTCACCAGCTACCTTGTGAGAATAACCACATGTGTTTCCCCCATCCCACCACCCATATTGCCGAGGCAGACGCTAACCATCACAATCCGTCACAGATGCTCTCGACGCAGAGACGTCAGTCACCACCATCCACGCAAATACATGCATGCATGAATATCCCATATCTAACACTTTCTAGGCCGTTGAGCCCCTCGGAGCTGCAAGTCCTACGAGCCCAGTACGAAAAAGAGGGTGACATGGTTGGCGTCCAGACAAAATTCAACTACGCATGGGTACGTCTTATGCCACCTCATATCCTCCTCTTTCCCCGTCATCGATGTCGCTGTTCTCTCTTTCTCCCTTTTCACTCTCTCCCGTATACTCGCCTTGGCTTCCGCTTACACATCGCTCATCACCTTTCCATAGGGCCTCGTCAAATCAAACAATCGCAACGACCAACAACTCGGCGTCCGCCTCCTCAGCGATATATTCCGTCTCTCTCCCGAACGTCGCCGCGAATGCCTGTACTACCTCGCCCTCGGAAACTACAAGCTCGGAAACTACGGCGAGGCCCGCCGCTACAACGACCTCCTGCTCGACAAGGAGCCCGCGAACCTCCAGGCTTCCGATCTACGCCAACTGATTGACAACAAGGTCGCCAAGGAGGGGCTCATGGGGGTAGCTATCCTGAGCGGCGTTAGCATTGCCGCCGGGGTTGTCGGCGCGTTTTTGTTCAAGAATGCTAGGAAAAGGTAGAAAGTCATTGAGGGAATAAATGAACACAAGATCGGGAAAACCAAGTATTATAAGAATATAGCTTTACCAAACTTCAGATGGGGAACGGAGCGGAGCGGGTCTGAGAAGGCCTGAGGAAGGTCGATTACCACGTTGCGACCGTTGTATTATATAACTAAAGGGAGCCTACCTTCATGAAGCATGCATATAATGATATTAATTCTAGCACTGCCAGCCAATAAGTGCACAGCCACTCAGTGCAACAGCTATTTTGAGCTGAAAATGTATGAAGTAAGCACTAGTCTGCAGAACCCCAAATCAGCATCAGCAGTTAACAACTCGTATCAAGACAAAGTACGATTATCATGCTCTCAATCAATCACTGTCACAATATACACAACGCGGCAAATACATAGAAAAGCCAATAAAATCAAGCTAGCTAAGAAAGACAAACGAGCCTGGACGACAATTCCGTGTCAAGACGTCAAATAAAACAACCTGTCCCAATCACACCACTAAAATACAACAGTTGCTGTTCAGCCCTCGCCGGCCAAATCATTCATCTGCTCCTGTCCAAGTCAAATCCGCAACCAGTGCTCCATACAGATGCGACAAAGGGTATCCGGGGGCAGTCAGGACGACAAGACGAAGATGCAGGTGTTGCCGACCAATCTTGCTGGGCATATAGATTAAAGGAAACCATAAGTGTGCAAAACACGTCCGTGCCGAAAAGACAAAGGTTCTTTTCCGCACTTTAAAAAAGGGGGCATCCTCCCATGGCGAATGAGGTTGCCAAAAGAAATTGCGCAATTGTGCTCTCGTTCTTCCAAGAAAAGAGAGCACCCTCTCAGTCTCTTCTGAAAGACACACAAACATGAGAGCATCCTCCAAGCCATGCTTAGACTGTTCCCAGCTTCGCAGAGAAGAACAGTTCAGGCACCACTCTAGAGGTGTGATCGCCGCACTCACCAAAACTACTTTTTATTTTTCTTTCGTACTGTTGAATATTTCCATAGCCCGCAGCCCCTTAGCCGCTACGAGACGACGGTTCCATAAAAGAGGTACTTCGGTTGTCTGTCTCGGTTGAGACAACTTTTGGTCAGGGTGATTAAGAGAAGACTCTGATTAATGACAAAAAAAATGTGGCCATAGAAGGCCAGCGAAACTAGAATCGAAAGGATAAGGAAAGGCGTCTAGCGGCTTGTGTGTGGCGTGTCATGAGTACTCAGACGTTGATCGTAGAGATGGCAAACTGTGCGTCGCTTAAGACTCGGAATTGATATCTCTCAATTTTAACGCAATGAGAAACCCTTGCGCTTGCCCTCCTTCTCCAACGGCCGCCCGCTCTCAATGCGTTGCTTCTTATCTTCGAGCTCCGCTCGTTGGCGTTCAAGTTGCTCCTTCATCTCTCTGTGGCGGGCGTAAAGCTCTTCCTCGGACTGCTTCAGTTTGCTCTCCTTCTCGGCCACCTTCTGTTGGAAGACCATCTTCATCTCGGCCTCCATCTTGGCTAGCTTCTGCTCATGCAGAGCACGCTCCTCTTCCTGTTTAACAGCAGGGTTGACTTCCTTGAAGACACTGGGGTCTTGTGACACACCCATGGCAATGAGCTTGTCGGTACGGTAGTTCTCATACAGGGCGTTGTTAGTGTTCTCTTTGAGCTCTTCCATATGAGTTCGGATGAGCATCTGGCGGAGTTTGACAAAATCGCAGTGCTCCTCGTTATCGACTTCAATGATACCCCATGGGTACTGGCGTCCGCGAACGGCCCGGCCATCAGTTGTCTTAATCTCGTTGGTAGCACCAACAACAGCGAAGGGGACCTTGGACATGATCTCATTGTTCTCGGCAATCGTCTCCTCGTCGTCCAGCTCATACCGAGGACCCTCAAAGATTTGAATGCCATGGTGCTTGATGTCTGCCAAAATCTACGACATTGTGAATACAACAGATCAATTTCCAGCGCATCCAGAGTTCCTATGTGAAGTGACTTACTCTAGCCTTAAAGCTCACAATCTCCTCATCGGTGAGAGTGTCTGACTTCGCAATGACGGGGATCAAGTTGACCTTGGTGTGAAGGCGTCGCATAACCTCAATGTCCAGGGGCTTCAAAGAGTGGCCGGTAGGCTGAATGAAGAAGACACAAGCATGGATACGGTTGTCAACGATGTTCATGCGATTGACCTTGTTCTCAGCATCGAGGTAAGCATCATATCGACGCTCGATATCGTCAACAATAGGGCGCCACGACTCGTCATTGTTAACGAAGTCACCGAATCCCGGGGTGTCGACGACAGTCAAGCGAAGGCGGACACCCGCCTCCTCGATATCGGCACTAATAGCCTGAATCTGGACAGTCTTGGGAATAATATCCAGGCTAGGACCTTTGCGCTCTCTTGGGGGATACAAAGAGGTGTTGAAGAGAGTATTGACGAGAGTAGACTTGCCAAGGCCGGATTCACCTTTGATATAGGCGGTTAGCTCCTCTCCGTCAGCCTAGGGAATCATACACACATACCAACAACCATTACATTAAAGTTGAAACCCTTGCGAACACTCTTGCGGTGCCACTGGTTTGGCAGGTTGGCAAAGCCGACATAGCCAGTGAGCTTCCTTCGGACAATGTTTCGGGCGTCCTGAATGGTAGAAGGAACAGATTGAGACGGAACTGCAGGAGCGGGGTCAGAAGGATGAGCATCTTGAGCAGAGGCCGCGGATTCAGGCTTGCCAGCAGGAGGTGACGCGGGAGATCCCGTAGGTGAATCGGAGCTGTTAGAAGCTGTACGATAATATCATTAGCATACCGCTGATACAAAGATGTGAATGCATTGAGAGTCTTTGGTAGAAGAGGCAAATGAGGCAGAGAGGCTAACAGCTCAGATCTTTGACCTGACTGTCAGCAGTATTCGCCAAAGTCCCGCAGGCACCATTAGCCGTCGATTTGTATAGCGGCTTCTCTGACACGGATTTGGGGGGCTGTTGGCTCGGGGGAGTGTACAACTCATCAAAGGACATGGGATTCAGAGGGTTCAGCTTCGGGGGTTCCTCAACGTCAAGCATGCTCCGGTATTGGCGAACGGTGTCCGCGACCGACGGGGTTGCTGAGGTTGTTATTGATAGCACAGTAGTCGTATCATGCATGACCACAATGCTGCTTGTCCGTTTAGAGGCAATGGTTGGCTCTGCTGAAGCGCCATTCTGGTCTTGCATGGCTTCCGGTGAGTTTCGGGTATGTGTTTTGCCTTGTTTTGCCGACTCCGTCGCCATTATTGATCACAAGACTCTTCGTGTTTTATCAACTTAAGTAACAGAAGTAGTGGTGCACTGGAAATGCTGTCAAGTCCAAAAAAGGGGGGGCGCGTTGGGTCCCGACAATGAAATCCAAGAAAGTGTAAATGTCGTAGAACGAATGTCCATGAAGTTATTGCGTTGAGGATTTAACGGAACGAAGGACGAGAGAAGACGCCATGAACAGGTTCCGAAGAGAAGCGTTTGTTGGAGCCGCCTCGGCTGGGGGGAGGTTGGTTGTTTGAGCTCGTGGTGGTATCTGCCTGTCTCCTGCCTCTGCAACAGACGGAGGCACCCGGTTGCGCGTGCTAAATCATTTGCAAAAGAAAGTGTGTTCTTACCCATATCGATGTATAAGGAGCGGTCGCTCGATCTCTAAAAGAATGGAGGAGAAGGTAGATTCTGCCAAAGGGGGAAAAAGTCAGCTACGTCAGGGAGGAGCTTGGATGGGGTCAGGGGAGAGGGGGTGGCCGACTGCA